TCGGATCCCACATACAGACCGGTTCCTGCTCACTGGCTGAGTGAGGTGCGGGAGCAGCACCGAGGGTTGCGATCCCGTTGCCGGTCCCGGTCCGGTACGGGGGCGACACTGAGGGTTGCGATCCGTTGCCAGACACGGAAAAAGACAAAAAAAAAAAAAAAAATAATTATCTTTCTGTTACTATCCCATTTCTTTTCTTTACTTCACCATATGTCTTAGTCTGTTTTCTGTTGCTTATAACAGAATATTTGAAGCTTGGTAATTTATAAAGAAACAAAGCTTATTTCTTGCAGTTCTGGAGGCTGGTAAGTCCAAGGTCAAGGGGCCACATCTGGTGAGAGCCTTCTTGTTGTAGGAGCCTTCTTGCTCAGGACTCTCTGTAGAGTCTCAAGGCAGCATAGAGCTTCACACGGCAAGGGGGCTGAGTGTGCTAGTCCAGGTCTCTCTTCCTCTTATAAACCTACCAGTACACAATCAGAACACATTAATTTAATAACCCATTAATCGAGTAATGATTAAACCCTTATGACCCATTCACCTCTTAAAGGCCCCACCTTTCAAACACCATAGTTGGATTTCCTTGACCTCTTAATATTGTTATAATGGAGATTTACTTTCAACATGAATTTTGAAGGTGACAGACTTTCAAACCATAGCGCCATAGAACTAAACGACAGTTCTCTTTTACTTCAGCTCCTTTAGACTGCTATTACTTAAGAACAGGGTCAGAAAACTATGGCCTGTGGGCCACTTCCTGTTTTGTAAATAATGTTTTCCTTAGGCACAGCCACACCCATTCATTTATGTATTGTCTATGGGTACTTTCATGTTACAATGAAGAGTTGAGTAGTTGCGACAGTGACAGTAGTGTCCACAGCCTAAAATATTTGCTATCTGGGCCCTTTACCCCAGCTTTAGAATGTTGTTCCATTTTCTTGTGGCCATCATTGTCTTTGTCATTCTCTGCAGTCCCACTTCAATATCATCTCCTTTATCTTCCTATTTCAAATTTTTTTCTCTTCACCTCTCTCTTACCTTCTAGCACTTCACCATGATTATTTCCTTTGAAACACTTATTGCAATCTAAAATTGTCTCATTTTTTTTTTTTTTTTTTTCC